GGCGCTTTCCTTCTCCATAATGCTGCCTTGCAAATGGCAGGTTGGGAGCTTGTTGGCTGGAGGAGGGAACTCTGGTGGCACTGTGTGAAGGGGAATCATTGGCAGCTTTGAAGGGGAGTGTTTAGCTGCTGGCACAGCAAGTGATGCTGCTGTGCTCTCAGTGCTTATAGAGGACCAAGGAAATCCCAGAGGACTGGAGAAAAGCAAACACAGTACCTGCTTTTAAAGTAGGGGTAAAAAGAGGCCCGAGGGAATTTATAGACCAGTTAACCTAACGTCAATACCTGGAAATATACTGGAACAAATGATTAATCAATTCATAAGTATTTAGGGAGTAGAGTGACAAAACAATCAACATGCAAATTTGGCAGGAACAAATATAGTTGAGTAGATCTAAGTTCCTTCTTTGACACAATAACTGGCCCAGGAGATAAAAGTAAAGCATAGGTATAATATTTCTGTAGTTTTGCTGTGTCCCGCAGTGCTTCCAGAGCTATGGATGCCCCGATAAGGCAGATTTATACCTGGTTGAAAGTCTGGCATTTGGCATAGTAACTGTCAAACTGGGAAGACACTATGAGTAGGGTCCCACTAGGGTCTGTCCCAGACTCAGTTATCGTTAATATTCTCATTAATGCTTTCTGTCCCATCATGTGAGCCATACTTAACATATATAAGTGATGCCAAGCAGGGAGAACTTGTACGCAACCTGGAGGACAAGATCAGGGTTCAAAGCTATCTTGATAAAATGGAGAAGTGGTCCTAAATAAACGAGATGAAATTCAATTAAAAAAAAAAAAAAAAAAAAGTATTGCAGGTAAAAAAGAAATCAAATACACACCAAAGAACCCTAAAAATAAAACAGAGAATGTAACTGGCTTGGCAGCATTACTGAGATTATAATGGATTGCAAATGAAATACATCAACATTGTGATGCTGCTGCAAAAGAGGGAATCTCAGCGTAGGATCTATGAGCAAGGCCATCATGTAAGACCTAAGAGGTAATTTTTTCCACTTGACTTGGCACTTATCTGGAGTGCTGTGTTCAGTTTTGGGTAGCATACTGTATTAAGGTGGACAAATTTGATTTTTAACAACTATGAACTTGAGAGGAAAGGGATGAGAATAAGAGTTTAGAAAACCTAACTAATGGGGAAAGGCAGAGGAATTGGTTCTCCTCAGTTCTAGAAAAGAAAAGATGGGAGGAGGGAGGGGGTATGTGATAAATTTCCCCATATGTAAAAGTAGTTAGAAAGAAGGTGCTCAGTTTGTTCTCCATATCTGCTGTGGATAGGACAAGATGTCATCTGAATTAGCAGCAAAGATGCTTTAGGGTAGATATGGAGAGCAAACTTGCTTTAGTGTAAGTGTAGTGAAGCACTCAACCACACTACCTGAAAATCTCTCGGGGATTCTCTAGGTTTACTTGATCGTGCCACTGTGCAGGGGAATTTGGATGATCCACTGCATCCCTCCAAGGCTGATGTTACAGTGCCTTGCAGAGATGTTGAACCGAGTCAGCCAAGCCCTCTGGAACACTACGGTGAAAGATGCTTCTTGAACATGCATGAAAGGGTCTCTCCAGTGGGTGTAAAATATTCCTTCAAAGAAAAGATGTCTACAGGTCAAGGCCTTGGGTGTTTCTTGTAAAATTCTAATATTTTGGGGCTGTCTCTGCAGCTATATGGACCTGCAATAGCAGCAGTGGCAGGTGTTCCAGTGCAGGCTTTTACCTAGCTGGCACAGGTAATCACAGTGGAGGTGTTGGCAAAATGGTTTAGCAGCCACTGCACATTCCTAGAGTCCTAGTGGGGAGCCTGTATTCTGACTGCTGGCTTAGGCCAGCCTCACTACACTTTTTTTAGCCCTGCTAGCTGACGATTAAAACTAGCACAGCTCTGCAGACCTGTGCATCATTTTGCTGTGTAAATATACCCTCCGTTCAGAGGGCATGAAGAACCATTACATTTCACTTCTGTTTCTATTCAGATTAAATTACTAACTCACTGTGGGGAAGGCTCAGGTAAAAATGTCCTAGCTGGTCTGGAGCTGGAGCTCCAGTTCAGCACTAGAATCTGACTGAGCCCTTCTGTGAGCAGTCTGCTGCTTTACATTGAATCAACCTTTACCAGCTGAGTTCAAACAGGCCCATGCTGCTGCCTCTGTTTAGCTCCTATCACAGTTCATGGCAGAACATCTCCCTTGTGCATAAGAAAATTAGTGCACAAATGGGGGCTAGAAAGGTTGTGCCAAAACTCAGTGAGGCTGATTACATCTGACATGGGATGCCCTCATCTATTGAGAGCACTAAACATAGCCTCCTTGTTGCTGTGCCTTCAAGAACAAAGAGCCATTCCAGGGTTCAGGCCTTTGAAAGAGCAGGAGCAGAAGGTTCCCTCAACTTAAATAGGCAGTTTAAAGTGCAGGGGGCTGACTTCTGAGAGAGGCACCAGGCTGAATGGCTCTTCTATCTCTCTTTGAAGGAAGCAATGACCTAAATTTATAGTCGTGGAAAGTGTCATTGTTCAGCTTGTCTAAAACCTTGTACCACTAAGGGGCTTCTCACTTCATTTTTAATGCAGAGTTTAATGAACATTATCCTTCCATGCATCTTTGTCCATGCTGAGATAATGATTTTGTCTGTTGTGGTTTTTAATTGAGACACTTAAAAAACAAAAAACAAATCTAAACTCTTGCTTTAAAAAAAAAAAAAAAAAAAAAAAAACATCATTAGGAAAGGAATAGCAGAGGATCTGGGTTGTCCTTTACCTTGTGTGGGAGAAAAGGTTCTGTAGCATTACCTCTTCTTTTGTATGGCTGACTTGGAGCAATAATTATAAGTCCAGTTTAAGGTTAGTTAACCAGTCTAATGCTCTTGAGGAAAGAGAATCTATCTGCAATGTCACCATCAAATTTGTGGAGGGCAGTGTTGTTCTGTGGTCCATAGTTTGATCAGGATTGCCACAGTCACATTACAGTGTGTAAGGATGGAGAGAGACCAAGATGCTAGGCTGAAGTAGTCATTGTGGCAATGGGTGAGCTTAAGTTGCTAAACTTGTTGTTTTGTAGAAGATTGTACCCACCCCTACCCCCAAATCAGAAGATAAAAACTGATGCCTTTAAGGTAAGTGGGCTGGTCAACAGAGCTTCTTGGAGCAACAGGATATTTCATGCCATGGGGACTGCTTCCTACAGTGGTAGGGTAGTTAAAATAGTAGAGACTCTTGTCTAGTTCTATTGAAAGGCAACTTGGAGGAAGAGGAGGGTTAAAACCCCTTGGCCAGGGAACCTTTAGAGTCTGATTATAGTTCCATCATGGACTCATATTGACAAGTGCTACTCACATTTGGGACAGTGTGAGGTGCCATAGAATTGTGTTGCCTTCTTTCTGGGAATTGTAATGGCTGTGGGGCATACCTGAAGCTAACCCAGCACTATGACTCAAGCCCCTTTGTGCCATTTCTTCCATCCTGAGCTTGCACTGTCAGACTTAGAACAGAACACTGGCATTAGTGTTTTGGTTGAATTTGCATTTCTGGAGAAAGATAAAATTAAACTTTTTCTTCTAAACTTCTCATCGCAACATAAGAGCTTGCACAGAATGGTGTGTGCCTGTGGAGTGGTTCGTAATGGCAGTTTTCTGGGTCATTTGATTCTCCTTTTTAATGCTTCATTTTTTTTATTTTTTTATTTTTACTATGTTCTGGATAACTTAGGCAGCTGCTCTATAATGTGCCAACATCCATGGGATAAGTTACATGCATATTCTGAGCGCTTTACATCAACCACTTGATGATCTCTGGTGATACCGCACCACTGGGCGCCGTGTTTGCTGAAAACCACTGTCAGTGCTTACAAGAGAAGAGTCGATAATTTACATTGCTCTTTTGGAAAACAATATCTTGCCCTTTGGGGACAGTCTTGTAGAGCAGAGATATTGTTTAGGAAGTTGCTTGGAGTTTAGTCAATAAAATGACCATATTTTTAACTGTTCGAGTAAGGAGGGAGGAAAAGGGAACTTTCCCATCTGAAGGGCCACAAACCCAAGGCATGTCATAGAATCATAGAAAATTAGGGTTGGAAGGGACCTCAGGAAATCACTTAGTTCAACCCTCTGCTCAAGACAGGACCACCTCCAAGTAGATCATCCCAGCCAGAGCTTTGTCTATGTGGGTCTTAAAAACCTCCAAGGATGGAGAGTCCATGACCTCTCTAGGTAATCTGTTCCAGTGTTTTACTACGCTCCTTGTGAGTTTTTCCTAATATCTAACCTAAACTTCCCTTGCTGCAGCTTGAGACCGTTGCTCCTTGTTCTGTCATTTGCCACCACTGAGAACAGTCCAGCTCCATCCTCTTTGGAACCCTCCTTCAGGAAAGTTGAAGGCTGCTATTAAATCCTGCATCAGTTTTCTCTGCTTTAGACTAAAATAAGCCTAGTTCCCCCAGCCTCTTATAAGTCATGTGCCCCAGCCCTTTGACCATTTTCATTGCCCTCTACCGGACTCTCTCCAATTTGCCCACATTCTTTCTGTAGTGGGGCCCCAAAACTGAACACAGTATTGCAGACATGGTCTCATCAGTGCTGAACAGTGGGAAGAATCACTTCCCTTGTTCTGCTGGCAATGCTACTACTAATGCAGCCCAGTCAGGAGCTGTCTGTAACCAATGACTGTTTAAGTAGCTGGCACAGCTTTCCACACTTACTGTCTACAAGGGAAAGTTTTCATTGGCCTCCAGATGCCTTTGGTTTCCATCAGCTTTATTAAATTTTGGGGTAAATCAGAGGGCCAGATACCACAAAGGAAGATGAAATTTGTAAAATCTATCATTAGCTGTATTCATGTTTTAATCTGGCATCTGTTTCCATGGCAGCAGGAGCCATCAGCAGTGGGCTTGCTTTAGCCATATGGCTTGCTTCCATGGCAACTGCTTGATTGAACAAGGAGGAGAAGGTAGGACATTGAAAATGCTACCCTGCTGAGTCAGCTCTCCTCTTTGCCTTTTTTTTTTTTCCCATCCAGTAGCCAGGGGGAGCTCTTGTGAAGACTTTTTTTGTTTGGCAGCAGAGCCTTGCATGCCAAACATGCATTTCAGATGTGTAAACTTCTCTGTCTAGAGCAGGGGTGGGCAAAATGTGGCCCAGGGGCTGGATGTGGCCCGCCAGGCCGTTCTATCTGGCCTGCGGGGCCCCTAAAAAGTTCAGAAAATTAGTTTTTATCTGCTCCTGGCTGCCTATCATGCGGCCCTCGATGGCTTGCCAAAACTCAGTAAGCGGCCCTCTTCCCAAAATAATTGCCCTCCCCTAGTCTAGAGCCTCTTGTACTTCAAATGCCTGTTATTCTTGAGGGAATACACTCAACTCACTTCCTGATGATTGCAGTAGTTTCTTATAGAGCAACTTGTGTGGGTTTCCAATCGAGGCCTGTGTTTGACTTCATTCATGAGGACAATCCTAGCCCCTACGCAGTGAAGTAATTAAGCGCCTGTTTCAATCCCATTGAGGTTAATGAGATTTAAGTGTATGCTTAAACTTAAGCAAGCACTTAAGTATTTTGTGAAATAGGGATGAGATTATGCCCATGTATAACTGACTTGCTGACATGGGTCAGAAAGACCTGCTGTATTGCTGAACAGTCAGTGCAGCAACCACTAGTTAAAGGAAGTCACCTACCATAGCACATGGGGTGTGGGCTTGATTGTATCTGTTTATATGCCATAATCACTGTGGAGGAACAAGCAAACAAAGCTGCAAAGACCATTAGAGGATGGCTGTAGCATTCATATCTCCACCTGTTGGCTCTCTCTCTTCCCTTCTTGTACTGTCCAAACAATGCTGCCAACTAGGGCACTGAACAGCAGCCTCAAGTCTGTCAGCATGCCTAAGCATGTTTGTTCCTCCTTCCTTTGGTCAGGCTTGCAGGAGGAACAAAGTTGGGTATTATCCTTTCCATGTGTTGGCAATTCACTGGAGCCAGAAGGGCAAGACGCAAGCAATGGCTTATTCCTGGTGCCTTGGATGTGGCTTCTATCCACTTGACTGAGCTGGGTGTTGAGGGGAAGCAGGCAGTTCATCTGGGTATGAAAAGGGAAAATAAGCTGAACGGTAGCTCGAAAATGTCACCAAACACCACTTGGTGCTTCCCTCCCAGATTATAGGGTTTGTGGAAGGTTTAGTGGTTGGCTGGCACTTGTAGTTACCAGTATATAAACAGATAAATTTTAGCTGCCCAGAACCTCGGATGCAAAAATGTTGGAAGCCAGACACCTCCACTCCTGTGTTCACCATTATTTGGCTTTCTAGGCCTTCACATCCTCCAAGAATTGTTGGCTTAGGACTGCCTCTGTGAAAGAGCATGCAGGTTACCCATCTAGACAGGGCTGGATCATGCTGCTCCTTACAGCTGGTGTGGTGGTGAGACGCTGCCACAGGCTCCCGAAGGGGAGAGGGCAGTCCCCAAGGGCCCCAAACCCCACAAACAGCCCCCCTGCGGGGGGAAACTTACTTCCAGGGGTGCAGCTGGAGCTGGAGCAGGAACCACAGCTGCGGCTGTGTGAGCTGGCCTTACGCTGGTTGTTCAATCAGCTGTTCCCTGGGTGGGGAAAAGCTGAGCCAATAGCGTGGCTGTGGGAAGATTTAAAAGCCCCACTGGAACCCGGGGGGTGGGGGAGAGCGAGGGAGCACACTGGCATGGAGCGCACCAGATGTGCTGAGGCTCCTGCAGCAGAAAGGAGCAGCGCAGCCAGAGTTGTTTGAGCCCCCTGGAGGAGACTGGGAGGAAGGAGGGAACTCCACACCCCTCTCCTCCCCAGGGGTCTATTTCTTTTGACAAAAAAAACAAAAACAAAAGAGAACAGGCGTAAAACCAGAAGTGCCCTACTCGGAGGCGCTGAAGTAGGCGCCAGCCAACTCAAGTCCAGCTTGCCAGTCTCCACAACAGGAAGGCTACTCATCGGGGCAACCTGACAAGTTCCAACTGAACCCACACTGATGCGGGTTCGCCCCTCTAGGCAAGCAGGGGTCAATCAAACATGACCAAACCACACCATTGGTGCTCATCTGGTTGGCAAGTGGACGGGGTATAGGGGAGGCGGAACTCAGTGGAACATCGCACCTGAACTGTGAGTACTGCCATTGCCAGGAGGCCCCCCAGGAAGAAGATCTCCACTGAACCCTCTCTTTATCTAATAATACCAAGTCGTGGCAGGCAAGTTGAGGGGAGGGGCCCTGTGCCAGACGGATAGCGCGTCACTCAGGGAACCCCCACTTAAGGCACCTTTTAGCACAGCTGGTTAGGTTTGGCCTGTAACTTTTAACCTCCTTTGTCATACAATCAGGAACTGCTGCAAGGCCCTCAGCTTTCCTGTAGTTAATCAGTTTCCCTGAAATCTGGCCTTTGTACTCCCTTTGGCCCCACCACATCAATAGACACTGCCTTTATGGTGTACATTAAGGTATAGAGGTGTAGCATGGATGATTTACCTTTTGTTGGAAAGCCTTCCATGGTTTCTCTTGTGTGGAAGATGCTACGGCAGGGGCGGGCAATTATTTCAGGTGGAGGGCTGCTTACTGAGTTTTGGCAAACCATCGAGGGCCACATGACAGGCAGCCAGGGGAAGATAAAAAGTAATTTTCTAAACTTTTTAGGGGCCCCGCAGGCTGGATAGAATGGTCTGGCGGACTGCATCGGCCTGTGGGTCGCATTTTGCCAAACCCTGTGTTATGGTAAAATGAGTGATACAGCCAAATGTTGCACGTTCCAAGAGGGCCCTATTGATTTTAGGGTTCCCAAGGCTTGCTGCAGAAGCTTAAAAGACAACACCTCTGTCTTCCCGCAAGGCAATCTAATTGTAAATTTAAACTTTCCAGCTCACAGCTGGTGCAGATCTCTGGTATGAATTAGCCAATCCATCTGAGTGAAGTATTGACTGCATGTAATGTAAATAGCAACATTGCAAACTTCAGGGCTGTTGCACCTCAAGTGTAAATTGGCTGGAGTTTGTTTTGCTGCTTCTGGTCTCTTGTGGGAGGGAAGCCTTGCCCCTCGGACTTGTGAAAAATCAGTTTCCTGATCTAATTTCAGGCTTGATCTCTTCTCTGCATAGCATCTATGTGATGGCTGCTATAGAATTTCCTTATGTTTAAAACAAAGGGAAAGGATGGACAGCCTGGCTAAAGGGCTTGGTCATGGGGACGTGTGGAGCCACCAGGTCAGGGCCGGTCCAGCTCCATGTGGCACGACCCTGTCAGATGCCAACAGATGTGTGGATTCGGCTAAATACCTTATCACAAGGACACAGAAAAGGAAGGATCGTCCCTGATGGTGCATGTTTTTCAATAACTTGCGCGGGTGGGGGAAAGCTTTCCCTCTTCATTCTCCAGCCTGTCAAGTTTGAGGAGCTCAGGAGTCGCAGGTGTTTCTCGCAGGTTTTCGGCGGGTAGGCATAATTGCTCTGAAAATAAATGTGGGGAGGTTTTCCTCCAAAAAGTCACTGGCAGCAACAAGGAGGCAGCCAGAGGCACTGGGGGAAGAGACCCAGGGGGAGCAGGACTTCGTTGTAGAGCCTGTTTACCGGCACAAGGCTGAACACACGCGCGCCTGCGAGAAATGCCGGGTGCACGCTTGGCGGTGCCTCTCCGAGCCAGGCAGGGGGGCCAGACCCCCCCCCCCCCCCCGCGCTCTCCGTAACTTTCTCTCAGGAAGCTTTGCCGGACAAGCGCAGGGCTGCAAGGACAGGCCCCGGGGAGGGCACGGGGCTCCTGCCCGCCCCTCGGTGGGCCGGGGGAAGCTGAACGTGGGAGATGAGGCGAGTGCGCCTGAACCCCTCCGACGCCGCTGGAAGCCCCGCTCCTGCTGCCTGCTCCGGGCGCCACCCCAGGCGAGGGGC